CGATATTGACTGAGATCGTACATCTTTTGTTTTTTGTTTTTTCTAAATATAAAAAATCATGTGATATGACGTCATTTCTGACTTTAGCCTCTAATAGTCGAAATAGTTTTGACCATTTCGACCATTTCAGATATCCAAAATGATCTATTTCGACTTCATGTATAATTGCAAAGTAAGATCCAATGCTAAAATGCATTTTCGACAATTAGGGCTTACTAAGGAATAAGTAGAAATTCTCATTCCTATTCAACCTACTGAAAAGCGTGAAGAAGGCAGGGATATTGTTAATAAAATTGCCTAAGAAATTGTGAAAATGATTATCTGTCTAAGAAAATAAAACAAATTTCATATGATTTGGAAAGTTTTGTACCTAATCCAGTCACCAGAAGTTCTCGACTTACTTTATTGTGAAAAAAGTTACAGGATTGTGGAGCTGATCATCTTAAAAAAAAGCAACCAAAATTCCTTATATTACTACTAAATCAAATAAAATTCAAGCACGACAGCTTGTATTTGTCAAATTTGAAGGTATCGATTAGCCTGAATACTTCTTCTTAGAACTGATTCAGAAAAAACTTGAGAAATGTGATTTCTCTTTATCACCTTCTAAGAAAGATTTGGTTAATATAATGATAATGTTAAGCATGTGACCAACAAATATAACAACTCTTCGTATTGATAAATATGAAGCATCAGATGAAATCTGATATGAACCTAAAAATTCCTGGTATTATATGTACTGGCTACTCTAAAACTAAAGAAGAAACAGGAGTAGAGGAACCTTAGCTTTCCTCTCAATGGAAAAGGATCTAATACAAGTAAAGGAGTTTCTTGCCTGGATTTAGAAAGCAATACCAGAAAAATTCACCTTCTTACGAAAAAACAAAGTGATATAGTTAATGTAAATCCAATTAATCTCACTTTAACTCAACATAGGATTACTTCTAGTAAATTGAGGAAAATAGGTATAGACTATGCTAGCAGGATTCATGAAGATATAAATGATTCTTATCGCTAATATTTATGAAAGTTGGCTTGCAAACAAGTAGTAAGTCATCACAAATCAGTAGAAAGATACAGTGTAATGAATAAACCACCTTGTAATTATTCGAAGAAATCCTAGAAGAATCAGATAAAGATAAATAAAATGGATTAACCCTGATAATGATTTGTATATGTTTATCTGATCAGACGGAGACATTTAAGATGTTTGATGAAAACTAATTACATACTATATATAGATTAGAGGATCGGAATATCATTTTTTAATTTTATTTTTTGCTCAAGACAAGATCTAATATATAGAATATATCACGAAAATAGTAACTGAACAAAAACATTCATCTGATAGTATACCTAATAAGTAGGAAGTTATCAGATACACAGAAAAATTAGCTAGGATATTTGAGCTAGACAAATAAAATGCATATATGTATAGTGTACTTTCCGGTAAAAATAGAGTATTAAAAAAACAATTGAAAGATTATCATACCCAACATAATACTTTAGAAAAGGATAAAAAGGTTGAAAAAAAATGTGAGATTCTTTAAAATTGAATTAAAAGATCTAAACGAATGTGTAAATAGGGAGACTGTGATCAACTTAATTAAAGATGGTACAGCAATTGATTTCAAATTTACAAAATGTTGCAACATAAGCTAAAATTAGTTGCAACATATATAGGTTAAAACTAATTGCAACGTAAGTTGCAACATTAAAAGTTGCAACATATTAATTACAGTTCCCATCTTTAAACTTAATACAAGAAATAGCTTTTTCGCCAAAAATAAAAAAATGTAAGGGTTTTCTCTATTCATCTGAATCTTTTGAAAATTCTGATTTAGTTGAGATAATTGAAAGATCCCAAAGGTATCAGGTAGAAGAGGTTATTCCTCATAAGCAATGAAGAAAGGCATAATGAAGAAAGGTTAAACAGTTTGTAGTTTGAAGTGATGAACCAGACACTTTGTGTATTTTCTGATCAAAGATATTAAGTTTAATAGATAAATAATCAAAATGGAAAGTGATCAAAAGCATTCAACATTCTTAACTAATATCCTGCTCAAATCTACTTTATCTGAGACTAGTTCATCTAAATTAAGCTTATTTAAGACTAGTTCATCTGAATCTAATTCATCATCTAAGAATAGTTCATCTGAGTCTAATTCATCTGAATCAAGTATATCTGAGACTAGTTCATCTGAGACTAACTCATTTAAATTCAGTTCATCTGATTCTGATATTAATAAAATAGTAAATATGGTTAAGCATCAAAGGATTTGAAAACGTCTAGCTCAAAGAAAAATTCAGGAAAAAATGCATATAACAAAAATAAGGCTATTAACTATCTGATAAATACCAGATCGCAGTGATAGAGGTTGGTCCCTTTAGGACTGGTTTATATTTTATATTTGGATATTATATGCCATAATAAAAATGGTTTTTATAAATTGCTCAGTTGAAGAAACTTGCTTTACCTAAGTAGTATTTGATACAGACGCTAATGTAAGTTATGTTAGTGAAAATGTGTTAATAAAATAAAAATGATATACAAAAAGATGATATCAATCCTAGAATAAACAGGATTTATTCTATATTAGGAAAAGTTAATCTATGTTTTACCTTTAATAATAGCAAGAAGTATAAAAGCATATCCACTGAATTCATAATTGTCAGATCAGATTAGCCAGATCATTTTCTTGATTTAATCTTGAGAATACCATGGTTGTGAAAAAATGGTGCAACTTTGGATATATGTAGTTCAAAACTATTATTAGACGATAATTTTGTGATCCCATTCAAAGAAATAAATTACATTTTGACATTATCTGATAGTCAGATCTGAGCTATGACTGATTTTTCTAACCTAACCGATAGCCTAGAGCAGTGATCATCTACTTAGAAGATTTTTTCTGATTAAAAGATATTCTAATCATATAAAAATGCATACAGTTAATTTATTAGAACAACTTCTGCCTGAACTAATACCATTCATTCTAAAGTATCTTTTAGAATAGGACCTAAAAAATTCTCGCAGTATAAATGATATATAGGAAAGAGAGACAAATCATGTATTGTTCAAAGAATGAAATTTCAAATGTGAAGATTGCCTCAGGGTAATTATACATTAAAGGAATTTTATTCAAAATTGAAAAAGTGTAATTTAAGCAAAGACTATCCAGAATGGCTTTTTAAAAATATATTCCTCAGAAGATTATCACCTGAGAATACGTTTAAAGTTCTTATAGATAATTTATAGGATCTTTCATTAGATAAGATAGTAGAAAGGCTTAGTCCAGATCAGTGATTGTGTAATTTTATTTTTCATTTGAAGATACAATATATAATACAGACTATTTATAACGCATACAAGTATTTTTAATATAGTAAAATTATTAGAACAGATTTTACATTTCTTAGCGATAGATAAATTCCTCTATCCCATTCTATATGTTTCCTGATTGTGGTATAGATGTAATGCTCCTATTTTATGGAAATACATTGAGCTAAAAAGAAGTAATGCATAAAAAATTTTATGAAAATAATACGTAAGAAGCAGAAGCCAGTTTATTGCTTAAATGTAACTTATCTAGAAATTTCATATTAACATCTTTCAGATAAAAAATTCAAAAACATTGTAGGCCTATTCCAAAATATAGTTCATTTAAATTTACATCATAATGTGAGATTTACTAATAAAACAATGAACTGAATAGCAGAATTATATCCTAATCTGAAGTACCTCAACTTGGGAAGGTATGATGGTGATAGATTAATAACTAATAAAGGTCTATATGTAATCGCAAATTCATGCCATAAATAGAATATCTGAATATTTCTAGTCGCAAAGAATTTTCTGAAATAGCGATTTAGAATATTATCATTCTTGTCTAAGAATCCAAGAGTTTGTTATTTACGAATGTAAAATATCTAATACAACTATCAAGAAAATTGAATTATATCTTAAAATAAAATATATTAATCCAGATACTGCTATCTGATATTTGGAAAAAATTAGCTGAAGTCAGACATGTTTTCTAGCTCTTCTTCTAGAGGTTTCAATTTATTTGAAATTTCAAATACTGTATCAGACATCAGAATCTGCTATAGATAACATTTTAATCAGCATAGTTTACATAGGCAAATCACTTATTCTAGACATAGCACTGATAGCTAATTTATTTTTTTCGATTAAAGATACAGAGTATATTATTTATGACGCATTCAGGCATTTTTATTATACCAGAACTATTAGAGCAGATTCTATATTTTCTAGCAGTAGATAAAACACTGTATCCTGCTCTATTTGTATCCTGATTGTGATACAAATGCAATGCTTTTATTCTATAGAAATACATTGAGCTAAAGGGAAATGACCTAAGATATGGACATTATTTTCCAGAAGATTATAATTATTATGCAAGAGATCGTATTCGATAGAAAATATTTGTAAAAATAATATGCAAAAAGCATAAGTCAGTTTATGTTGTTATACGAGTCGATTATGAAGTCTACCGACTGAAAAATAGACTTCAACACGTATAGCAAGGTTTTAGGTATCTG